AGTGAGGCTCATTCCTTTCTGCAACTGTTTTGAAAACATCAGTTCAAATTCTGCCATTTTAAATGAGAAAATAACCACAAAAAATGCCCTCAATTCACTTAAAAAATTCTTGCATCTATTCAAGAGGGGGAAGTCCCTTCTCTGCTCCAGCATTCAACTGAGTTCCCTGAAAGGTGATGATTGGAAGTCAGAGAAATAGTTTTTGATCCATTGAGTGTCTTAGCTCTCATGCCTGTGAACAGGTCTGTGTGGAAAACCATAAAACAGAGAGATGACCAGAAGTGAGCAGTAAGATCCTATGGTTGGGGCTGGATAAGCTCACCCAAACAGTGGCCTTTCAAAATTAGTGCTGCATTTGTAAAATAAAGATCTGAGTCTCACAGCTGTCCAAGGAACCCCCATGAAAAGAAGTGGGCATCTGCTTTCTGTATTCCTCACACAACCGGGCTACCCTGCTTTCCTACCTAATCCCCATTGCTTGTCTTTGCACAATCATTAGGAGCTTATAATAGAAATAGTTTTGTCTGTATGTAGTGGAAAACACCAGTTTAAACAGGATGTTGGAGATCATGATGGCTGACCCAGAACACAGGCCAGGGCAGACATGAAAGCAGGAGCATTTCATTCACAAAGGTTTTCTGGGACCAGCTCCCCCTCAGCCTAAACAGAGTCACGCACAGCCTGGCCCTGATGCTCCCACACTGCTTCCAGAAAGGAGGAGGCTGAGCTGCAGTCTCCATGGATGGCAGCCATGAGCAGGACTGGGAGCAATTACTGGTGGAAGAGCGTGTTCCTCTGCAGAAGAACCCTTCTGCCAGCCCCTCCCCCGAGCAGCACGTGGAAAGGAGCCCAGGCTGTCCCACGCCTACTTGTTTTCTTTCCCTTCAGTGGGACAGTTTCAACTGATTTTGATTACCCTGGCGCCAAATAAATGAAAACATTTCATAGGCATATAATCATCCATCACTGTGAAGAAAGGAAAAATGTTTCATGTTCAGTATGTTTATAAATACACTTAATGAAAAAAGGACAGTGCTGTCTTTCCTACCACCACATTGCTGCTGCTGTTGGCCAGATCGCCCTGCTCCAGGTCACCCCAGAGCCCCTACCAAAGCCCCTCAGCCATTTTGCTGACAGCTAATGGCCCAGAAGAAGTCGAGATTATGGACCTCCTCTCCAAGGCCACCTTCTAATCTCCAGCTCCTTTCCCAAGACAGGGGCAGGATGTGGAGCCAGGAAAAGGTAAGTAGCTTACAAATTAGGACAGAAAAGCCAGTGGTTGTTTCCATCTGGTTAAGGCAGCCTCAGCGTAGCAGGGCCGTTGCAAAGGAATTAATGATCACATGCATGGTATTTGCCACAGCCCTCGCCTGGGGTTTGGTTTAAATGAATGACAGGTGGAGCTCCATACTGTGTGTTGGTTATATTGATGCCAAGAAGAGGGAAAGAGATCTATATTGTTGGTTTGCATATCTCATCTTTGTACATCCCTTGTATAATTCCGTTGAAGGTAATTTTGAGTTGAAAATTTAAACATTCACTGATAAGTCTTTTGGAGAATGAAATCTGAAGAAACAAATTCACTTTGACATCTGTCTTATCCCAGCTAGGTCTTTTAATTTTGGATGCTATATGATTTTAGGCACAATAAATATCCACAGATCTGTCTCCGAGGCATTAGCTGATGATAAGAGTTCTATATGTATGGTCAAAAGGCATGGACACTCTCCAACCCAAGTTCAACCAATCTGAGTCTCTTATCCCTAGATGTCATTTCTCACAATGTGCTAAATATTTGTATTCACATTTGATTCCTAAGTAGAACCAGACCATGGGGCAAGAGACTTCTTATAAGTCATTTTTACAAAATGCATCTTCATTTTAATCACAAAGAGCTCTACAAGAAAAAATCTACCCATTCAAATCCACCAATTCAAAGCACACTCTTAGTGTCATCACAGAACACTTATAGTTGCCACATAGGCAACAAAACCAACCAGTCATCAGTAGAAAGAGAAGGCCCCAAAGCTCTGTGACATCGCAAAATCTTGAAAAGAAGATGTTGTGACTTTATTTACAGAGCCTGTTAATCCTTCAAACAAAAATAAATGTGTGTGGGGGGGGCACCCTCCCTTGGGTGTGGGAGCCATCCCAGAGCAGGAAAAATGTCTGGCATTCCAGGAGCTCAGTTTTACAGCACTGTGTGTATAACCTGTGCATTTCAAGCAGGCTTCAGTGATGCCTTCTCTACTATATAACCCTCTCTGATTTTCAGGATGCATCAGAACCCACCTTAGGGAAGAGTGAGAAAAAGGTTGTTTCTATGGATTGACATATTATCTGAAGATGCTATTTAGAATCTATCAAATTAGTGAATACAGTTGTGGACAGGATTCCAACCTCAAGTGATATAATAGCAGTGATGGTTCACTTTTGCATCAAGATCTATAATTATGAAACCATTCAAAGTACATTGTTCCATTGGATTCCCTTGACAGCCCTGGGGAGAAGAGAAACTGTGATGAAAAACATGACAAGACTACTTTAAGGTCAAGCAGCTATGGAAGAGACAGGGACCCAGAACCAGCTGCTTCATCCTGTCCCTCTTTCCACTTTATGATACTGCTTCTGGATCCCACAGTTACAAAGCCCATTTTAAAATGTAAGGCCACCTGGTGGTTTGGGGTCATCTTTATTCATTCTACTTCTAGTAGGTTGGTTCTAAAAAACAGTCCTGGTAGTTCAGCCCTCCTTGCATGCATGCCCTGTGGAAGATGACTTAGACTCTCTTCTGCTCAAGAGGTGGATTCTGTCGCCCACTTGTTGAGTTGGGCTGGCATTGTGACCTGCTTCAGCTAAAGGAAAGCAGTAGAATGGCCATGTCCCAGTTCTGAGCTTAGATCCGGATGGGCCCTCTGAATTGCTGCTTGCTTTCTTGGTTACCTCCAGGTGAACGAGCCTGAGCTGGCATCCTGGAGGATGGAGACCACATAAAGTCAGGCTGTTCCAGCTGAGACTGTCCTAAAGTAGCCCAACCCAACATGTAAGAAAGCCTTCCGAAGATCAGTGAGGGTGTTCACCCTGCCTGCACTGACCATTGACTCGTGGGTGGGCCTGCCTGAGGTCAGAATTACCTGACTCTCAGACTCAAGAACAATCATGAATGTTCATTGTTGAATGTACTCAGGCTTTTAGGGTGTTTGCAATGCAGCCTGATTGTGGCAACAGATAACTAACGTACCACTCAACAAAAATGTGATGAACCCTACTACTTACCAAGTTTGAAAGGCACCATAACAACAGATGTGACTTCTTTTATGCACTCCCAATTTTAGAGGTTGTCAGGGAAGAGAAGACTATAGTTATCATCCAGGGTGGCTCACGGTAATAATTCCATGAATAGTTAAGAAGTGGCAGAGTATTTGGAGGAAGGAAAGCTCTAATGGTCATTTGGAAATGCTTCACAGACAATGCAGTGAACTTGTAAGTCTCACCCTCCCTGTATTGAATAAGACCTAGTGACCTAAATGCACCTTGTCTTTTATAAAAACATGGACAAATGCAGGCCCAGGCTTGGTCCACTTACAAGTATAACACCCATCAAAAATGCTTTTTAAATCTCCAAAGGGAATGCATGACCCCTTTGTAGTATAATTGAATACCTTATAAATAATATGTATTGTGGAGACAAAAGACAATAAAATTGGTGAGCTACCTCCTATGAACCCTCTGAACTTTAAAGCAAACATTTCTATTAATCTCAGGTTAATGATCCCAGAGCTGATCTACAAAGCATAGGAGATTTGAATTCCTGTCGAAACAAATCTCCTCTTTCCTATCTTAGTTGATTCTTGGATTAAGAATAAAAGCAAAAAGGAAAGGAAAGGATGTGGAATAGTCTGGGCGGGATAATACAATGATGACTTGGGCAGAGTTTGGGGCCAGCCTGCCTACGTTGGAAACTGTGGCTATCCCACCTTCTGTCTGTGTGGCTTGGGAAATTATTTGGCCTCTTTATGCCTCAGTTTTCTCATCTGAAAAATGGGGATAAAGACAATGCCATGAAAATTAAATGAGGTAATCGTGTAAGGCACTCGAGAGCAGGCAGTTAATGGCAGCTGCTGTATAATTAGTGAATTCTTAATGGATTCCATTGTAGATGAAGTCAACATTAAGTGTTTTCCTATGACTTACTCATCCTGTCTTATTTCCTTTTCAAAAAGGAAGTATTTTTAATTTATAAAGATCATTGATTTGAAGATGACTGTGGTGGTACATGTCTGTAATCTCAGCAATCTGGGAGTCTGAGGCAGGAGGATTGCCAAGTTTGAGTCTACACTTTGTATAATAATCATCCAGCTAACAAGCAACCTTCTGCATCAGAAAAAGAGAAAGCAACGTGTTCATTAGATATTGGATAGAGCCAATGCTTCCCTGGGATGGACCCTGTGATGGCTGCAAACTATCCCAGTGTCAATGGTTGACATCCACAGAGTCTCATTTATTCCTCTTCTTGCTTGCCAGCTACACTTGAATTGTGGAAAGATGGTTTCACATGGCCAAAAGGCAAAGCAAAAGGTATAAGAAGTATGACAGAAAGCCTCAGGGGAACACAGAATATTTAGTTCAACCACCCAATGTCGTTCTTCTGATTTCTAGTTAGTTGACGGCAAACATACTTTCTCCATGGATGGCTCATATCACTGATGTCCTGGTGATTTTTAAGTAATTATTTAAAGGAACAATCTTCTTGATGTTTGGGGACCAAAGTGCACTGTGACAAAAATAAGTTCGTAAGTAATTTACTACCTGCAGAAGGAAACATGAGTGTAAAATCATTTCTGCCTAAGATTTCCTAGTGAGTTGCAGTTAGCTTTTTCCTTTCCCCATCATTTATGAGAAAGCATATCTCTCAGTATTGAGTCACAATGAGGCTTCACCACCCAATAAGACTAATATGTACTTGGTACCTAGTATGTGCCAAGAAGTTTTCTAAATGATTCATAGGCATTAATCAATTTAATGTTCACAGTGACACTGTAGGTAAGAAGTATGATCATTAACATTTCACAATCCCATCAAAGACGTCATGGTATCATTCCCATTTAACAGGTGAGACAAGTGAGGCACAGATAAGTTGGATAACATGTAACCGGTAAGTTTCTAAGCTGTGATTTCCAACCCATGTAATGTGGCCCCAAGTTCATTCATAACCCCTATTCCAGACTGTCTTGCCCCAGAATTTAAACAGGTTTTATCATCAGTCTTATTATTTTGCTCATTGATTCAGAGAACATGCTGAATAAATATTTGTGGAATGGGTGAAGAGTTCAGCCCCAAAGTATGAAATGCTGACAATTTCCCATGTCTCTCCCCCTGCCTTCACCTCAATCTCCACTTTCTCATTCACCTTTGGGATAGTTCTACCAAAGCCATACCTGGGGGGAAAAATAGATCCAATTTTCCTTGTAATAATTTCGCAATTGAATGCATCATCGATGACAAACTAGTTATATCCTGCCTCTTTCTCTGTATTAGTTTTCCCACACCACACATAACCTGAACCAGCTGTTTTGATCAGGAGAAACTCTCCTCCAAGTTCCCCCATTTTCAGCAGCTCTGACCAGGGTGCAGAAATGGGAGGAGTCCAAAAGCAGATCAGGGGCCCCAGCACCATGAGGAAAGTCAGAAACCAGCAGCCGCCCGTCCTTGGGTGTTTTGTTGCTGGAACATTTGCCGCCTGCCCGTGGTGGTGGCTAATTGTTGGGTTCATTGTGCACCTTGGGTCTCACAGGTGTATTTCCTAAACGAACATAAAAAGAAAATGATAAGGGCCAGCACATGGAGGTGTTGATGTTTTCAGCTCCAGCCAATTGCTCGAGACCTAAAACAACAGTTAGTGCAGATGGAAGGGACAGGATTATGATGCTGACTACAATGGAAACCCAAAACTCTTTTTGCAGAGCGTGCCCAGCACCCAGCTGCCGTCCACTTGCCTCTAGCATAGCTGCCACCCAGCAATTAACACACTCTCCTTTGGAAAAGGAGCAGAGAGGAACAATACTGCAGCCAGTCCTTCTGGGACAGAAAGCAGGTGAGTCCAGCATGGAAAAAGCAAGGTAAATGATCCCTTTTGCCATTGTCTTACTGCTGGACAAACCACTAGCAAGGTGAGCCTGGTATTTAACCCTCCTCCAGGGCCCTGAAAGGGTTGCAAGAAAAGGGTAGAAAAAAAAAAAAAAACCCACACCAGCCTGCAGTGATTGAAGTCCAACAGCATACACAATTATCTTCTCCTCTGTATTTAAATAAAACCCCAGAGTTTCCTGCCTCTTAGGGGATATGTGTATACATGCATATCTCATATCTTGGCCATCAACTGAGGTTGTCAGCTAAAATGAATTAAGTTATATTTAATGAACTCAGTTAAATTTGCCTTGTAAAATTTGAATCTCAGATAAATAATGAAGAACTTTTACTGTATCGATGTCTTGTGCAATATCTGCGACATCTAACAACTTATTATCTCTCTAGTTAACTTATTATCTCTCAAAGTTAATGATGCCTGCCATTTGGGTTTCTATTTTGTTTTGTTTTGTTTTGCTAAATCTGGCTACTCTACCCTTATTTCATTACAGAGATAAAATTGAACTTCAGAGTAAATGATTTGCCAAAAGTATGTTGTTCCATGAAGGTGAGGGCTTGAAATACAAAAAAAACCACCTGATTGCTCAAAATGTTTTCAGTCCATCCATAAAGAGAAAATAAACTCATGTTCCCTAGACTGGATCAGTGATATGAATAAAGATAGAAATCTAGGAGTTTAAAAGTGTGTGTTTTAATAGATGAAGGGTTCTAAACCTTAAAAACATTCCTCATCTGTTTTTTTGTGGGTTTTTTTGGTACCAGGGCTCAAACTCCGGTCTTTGCGCTTGCGCAGCAGGCGCCGAAACCACTGAGCTAAATCCCCGGCCCTCCCTCCTCATCTTTTTACCTGCTTCTTAGCAGCTTAATGAGCAGGTCCTAGGTATTTCAGGGATCACAGTGTCCTGCACACAGCACAGCCCAGGGACAGCTGTGCATGCGAAGTCCCAGCTCCATCTCTTAATTTGAGTTTCCATTGGCATCTCTATAAAGGGTATTCTGGGAGCCACGCCATCCTGGGGACATGAAACAATTGAGTCAGCATGATTCCCTGTCTGACGTGGGTGACAGAAGCCTGGAAGGCTGTCGCTGAGTGCTTGAGTAGATTCAAGGAAAAGATAGGTTTTGTGTGGGATTAAACACGAGTGGCAGCAGATGTCTAGCTCAAGTATCAAACAAGATAATCTCTGCATATTGAGATGCTGCAGAAAAAAAGGATTAATCATTTGAATTATCATTAAATCAATTATCTCCTCTAGAGCTACCCTTTGTGTGGTCGACTAACTACAGGAATGGAGAATGCAGAAAGATAATAAATACGTTGAGGCTTGCAAGCACATTCATGCCAAGTGAGGGCAGGGTAAAAAGTGAAATCAATATTGTGTGTGTGTGTGTGTGTGTGTGCATGTGTGTGATTATAGTTATAGAAGTCAACTCTTAATACAAGGTTATTTAAATCCTTGTCAAAAAGTTCTCATTTTATTTTTCTCAACTAATTAAGACACAACTTTAGATTCTTTTATAAATAGGCAAAATATATAGATTGCTTTGTAAGGTGCAGTCAAAGGCAGAAACTTTCTCCAGAATCATTTTTCAGAATAGCCTTATCATTTCTAGTATTATAAGGATAATGGTTTAGGTACTATATCAACAACATTGTACACTGAATTAAACAGACTTTCTTGAGAGTCACAAGACAAAACTGGACCACTCTAACAACTCCTCACCTAAAGACAAGAGCCAGATCTCGGCTGTATCTGTTTCAAACTATCCAACCTAGCATTGCCAAAGAAAATGGGATACCACTGCTACTCACCCAGGAGCTGTGTGGACCATGAGAGAGAGAGAGAGGGAGGGACAGAGAGAGAGAGAGAGAGAGAGAGAGAGAGAGAGAGAGGGAGAGATCCCCCAAGGCTATAAAGTTATTTTGGATGCAAAAATTTGTTGAATCTAATTAAAAAAAAGCCACTTGATTTTTATTGCGGAAAAATATGCATAATATTATATGCATATTATGCGTGATAGAATTAATAATAGAATAGAATAGAAAAAATGCATAATAGAATTGTTATTTTAATCACTCATAAGTATACAGCCCACTGGCATTAATGATTTTCATGCTGTTGTACAACCATCAATACTACCTGTCTCCAAAATTTTTCGTCTTCCTAACCTGAAATTCTGTGGCTTGCCATTCTCCCTCCTCCTAGTTCCCAGCAGCCTCTATTCTACCTTCTCTCTAGGAATTTTCCTATTCTATTACATCATGTAAGTGGAATCATACAATATTTGTCCATCTGCACCTTGCTATTTCACTAAGTGTAATGCTTTTGAGGTCCATCCATGTTGTAGAAAATAACAAAATTTCATTCCATGCTAGGGTAAAGTCATATTTCATTGTATGCACATGTATTGCATCTTCATTTTAGTTATCGATGTATCTGACAATGTTCATGGACATTTTGGGTTATATTCACCTTTTAAAAGCCTCTTGGTTTTTGTCCTTCACTGTCCATTTAAACACATTCAGTGTGGTGATGTTTTTCTGCCTCTCACTTAGATACATCCTACAGTCACTCAAAATCAGAGTCTCAAATAATCCACACCACAAGAGGCTCCATGTCGGTAGTCGGAGCCTATTGAGCTACTGGTTGGCTTCATGGAATGTGGCCACACTCTTTCCTTCTAAAGCTCAGTGCTTCTCCATTCATCCCTATTCTTTGCTAACTGAAGCTCCCCATGGTGCCTTGCTGGAGAAGACAGAAGAAGAGACATAGGAAGATTGGGAGACTGCTCAATGGCTTGGTCATCTTGGGGCCTCATAGATATTTAACATGATCACTCCCTCTTCCCCTGGGCTCTACACTGGCTGTTTCATGAGCCTTTTTCTGCTGGTCCCTTCTTGAGGTGATGAACCCCAATTTCTTCTCAGCTCCTGTTTTTCATGGTCAACATCACTATTTCTTTGGGCCAAAATATCCTTGACTGGAAAGTCTGCCACTTGTTGCTTGTGCTGCATCCCTTTACAAACAATGCCAACCTTACTTGGGGTTCCATGTCGGGGAAGTTGCAAAGGTATACGTGAGAAGTTCCTAATGTAGTCCCCGTCTCTTCTACAAGAAGCCATTTCTACTCTTTTAGGGAATTAATCAGGCCCTAAACTTAGGGACAGATCTCCTTGCATGGCACCATGTAAGGCTCTCTCCCTGGGTTTGATGTGTGAGACAGAGTCCTCTCTCTGCCTCAGTCACTGAGAGAGGTAGGGTGAAGAATAGCATCACCTGATTGCTCTCACCAAAGACCTCCTCTTTGATGCCACTGCTGATCTTTTTAAATCCTTACCGAGAATTAAATGTCCAAAGAGTTCTTTGCAAACAGCGCTTTGGAAATTTTCACGCTCTCTCACACTTCAGTCTGTTACCCCATGCCCATCGTATCTTTTTTTTTTTTTCAGGTGATAATAATGATTCCTTATATTTTTTAATGCTTTCAATTTGTGGAGGTGCTTTGCCTTCAATTATCTCAGATTTTCATGGGCTGTGTCCTCTTCAGTTTTGATGTAGTCATCTTTAATTAATGGCCTTTGTTTTAAAATGCTTAGGCCGGGCGTACTGGGACACATCTGTAGTACCAGCACTGGGGAGGCTGAGGCAGGAAGATTGCTGTGAGTTCCAGGCCAGCTTAGGCTACATACTGAGTTCAACGCTCGTACAGGGAGACCCGTGAGGGTGAGCGTGCGCGGGCCGCGAGGGCCCTTTGCTGTCCTGCGCCCCACCTCGGGGACGAGGGGCTGGAGGTCCTCCCATCATATCTTAATAGTACAGGTGACAAGGCGAGTGTCCTACTAAGATTCAATGCCAACAGCTGCTATGCAAGGTGACTCTCCACCTCTTTGAAGGGCCACCTCCTTCGGCTCCACATCAGCCCCTCTCAAACAAAATCTAGCTGTTTAATGAAAGCAGCAACAAGCAGCACTAAAAATCTCCTTAAATGCAATTTCCCTCTTTTCTATTCAAGTAGATGCTTATAATATTTTAATTTAATTGAAAAAGAGAAGTCATATATCCAACTCAGACATATTTGAACAAACATCTAACTGTAATAACAATGAACTCCGTATTAATCTTCTACACAAGCAAAGAGGGAACTGGATGTCTGCAGACCAACAAAATCGGATGTCACTCCTCTGTTTAGTCTGATGAGGTGTCATGAAGAAACAGATCTCAAGTGGCTCTTTTCAAATCTGTTGACCTTTTCATGGTTTTGCATGTCTTCCCAACATCTAACCTTGTTTTTATCCCATCTCTTGAAACTTCATCCTCCCTTGGCTCATAACACACTCCCATTTTCTTAACTTTACTTCTCTTTCCAGTCTTCCCAGGCTCCTTTCTCTACTGGCTCTTTTCTTACCTGCAGTCCACATCTTTGCTTTTATTCGCTTTCACTTTGCAAAGTAACCAACTCTGTTTAACTGCTCCATTCAGCTGTAGCTCTGTACTGATGCTTTCTGCATTTCTACCTTTCCTTCCACAAAATCTATTGCCCCAGTGATGCAGCACTGCAAAGTACCCTAAAATTCCAAGGTTTAAAACAACTGTGTGGTACTGCTCATGCCTCTGTGAGAAGGTAGGCAGTTCCGCTGGTCAGGGCTGGGTTTGGCTGGTCAAATTTTCAGGGTAGGATTGGAGTCCATGTAAGTGTCTGAGGGCCAGCCTGCTGCCAGCTGAATTAGGACGGCCTCAGTTAGTTCATTAGGATGATTCTTCCTTGTGTCTCACCTTTCAGCACACCAGCCTGGCCATGTTCTAAAGTTCAATCACTTTTCCATTCTAAAACCCTGCATCAAATTTGTGACTATCTCCTGGCTAAATCAAGCCATTGGCCAAGCTCAGTTTCATAGTGGGAGGGGACCACAGTAATGGACTCACATAACAACAGTTGTGACTACAAGGAAGTACAAAAATCTGAGGTCTTTCTTTCTTTTTTTTTTTTTTGCATATCCTTTTATTGGTACATTTTAGGTGTACAATATAATGACATTCATCATTGGAGATATGCACCTTTACATACTGTCTTGGTTCTTATTTTTCCCCCCTTCCTCTCCCCTCCCTTCAACCCCTCCATACCTCCCTATTTACAAAAACTTTGTTTCCTTTTTTCATTTTCTCATATTAATTCCATTCCCTTCTTTCCTTTTCCCTACCCCTCCCACTTCCCTTCCCCTTTGCCCCTTTTCTTCCTATTTCACCTTACCTATTATACCTTTTAATCCTTATTTACACTTTCAGTTTCCCAAACTAGAGAAACTATTCAGTATTTACACATGTGCTGAGATCTTTCATGTACTCAAACTATCATAGTTCCATTGCCTTCCAATCCCACTATCCACATCCTTAGATAAAGCTTGTTACTCCGCGCCTGATGTATTAAAGCTTCTGACTTCCCTGTCTCTACTTTAATAAAGCCCCATAGAACCATTCATCTGTCTAATAATTCATTTATCAAAAAGTTTCTGCACATCAAACAGTATTGGATGCTAGTAGATGCTAGAGGAACAATTATGACCCAAACAGCCAAGACCCCAACTCTCCAGAGCAAATCAATTCATCAAATAATCATAGATACCACTGTTAGATCAATTTTCCAAATGCTTCTGTTTTATCCTGTCACCTGGCTGGTCCAAAGCTCTTGATAGTTCCCTGCTGTACACAGAATAAATGCAAACTGTTGACCAGGCCTCTGGGGCTCTCCTTTATTTGATCCATGTTGTACATTTCCAGGTGGCTCCTTCTCGCGCCTCCTTTATCAGCTCCTCTTCCTCTGCCAGGCTAGGATGCTTGCTCTCTCCCAAGCAGACCCAGCTCATATCTGATCTGCCTTTTGCATCAGCATTCTCTAATCTGTCTTTAGAGCTCTCCCTATCCTTTTGTCTCTTGAAAACATACATATCTAACAAAAACAAAACGAAACTTGAGTATCTATCAAGGCTCAGCTCAGGACTCTACTATTTTGTGGTTACAGATTTTTCAGCCACAAAATCCTTTCCTGACACAGGTACCACCCTCTTCTGCCCAGCCCATGGTCTCTCCTTAGATTTGTGAGCCATAACCAGAGTCAGGACCAGCATGAGACCAATGAGGAAACCAGGATGCAAAGTTGAAGGAGGCACTCACTCTTAGGGTCATGCAAGATGGGAGTGGTACTGACAAGCAATGCTTCTTCAATTTTGCATCCTGAGAACCTGTTATCTTACCCCAGTCCCAACCCCCGGCTATATTTGTCTTTTGGGTATTTGTTGTGCATTTAGTTTTGTGCATAGCTCATATGAATAAGAATTTTCTTTTGAACATGACCAAGTGTGTCTCACCCCAGGCTAAGAAACATAGTCTGTGAAGTAAGTGAGTACTCAATAAGTTATTAGAGAAATAACTAAATTTGCAGATGCATTGGGGTGTTTCTTGGTAAAGGCCTAGAAAAAGATTAGAAGAGGCAATATAGAGATAAAGTGAGAATGAATAATTCTATCTCAGGTTAAGACAAGTGAATTTATGTGAATGACAGCAAGAGAATTACAAGAAAATAACATTATTATGGTGTGAAATATTCTTAGGGGCAAGCTGTACACTGGATATATAAAGATTAAAAAGTCGTCAGCCTGAACAGAATGCGGGGGACCCAAATGTAATGTCACATAAAAGAGGAATTGGAGGAAGAAGTCACTTAAAGCTGGGTTTTTGGGTAACGATAAAGCTACACACATAAACAATACATATGTGGTAAAGGCCATAGCTAGGGTCAAAAGATAAAGATAAGAGACACATCAATTAAGGAAATATTGTGACTTAAAAAGTAACAGGAATTGGTATCTGAGACCATTCAATAATTTTCAAGTTTCACCAGTTTAGTGCCTGAAAACCCCCTAATGTCTATTGACCAACAATTCTGAGTTTGATGGGGTCTAAAGGCCAGTTCACACCATGCAATCCTTGCATGCAAAATACAGCATCCTGCGTCTCCATTTTCAGTATGAATTTTGAGAATTATAACATGAGCAGTGGTAAGATCTAAGAAAAGTACAGAGAAACAAACTAGTAGTGAGTGAAGTGTTTGTAATAAATTAAACCCTGTTAAAACTCCTCATGTGTCCAGTAGGCAAGATCATTGTCCTCTGATGATGGAAACCAGGTGAATGTTCTTCTATTTTGTTCTCAATAACCATTTAGTTTTACTAATGCTTGCCAGTCCTCTAAATTCCCTTATCCTGGAAGGAAGATTATTTCAGATATGAGTCCTATGCAGGGAGCATTATCTTAAATTTGTATATATCTATATGTATTTGTTGGTAGGAATGCAAAATAGTGCAGCTGCTATGGAAAACAGTATGTGGTTCCTCAAAAACTTAAAAATAGAGCTGCCATGTAATCCAGCAATCCTACTTCTGAATATTAATCCAAAAGAATTGAAATCAAGGTCCCAAAGAAATATCTGCACTCTAATGTTTGTTCTAGTATTATTCATAATAGCCAAGTTGTAGAAATAACTTGTGTCCCTCGACAGATAAATGGATAAAGAAAATGTGGTACATACATACACTGGAATATTATTCAGCCTTAAACAGAAAGAAACTGCAATATGTGACAACGTAGTGAACCTGGAGGACATAACGCCAGATGGAATAAGCCAGTCAGAGAAAGACAGATACAGCACGATGCACCTAACAGAAGGTATCTAAAATAGCCAGACTCAGCAAATCAGTACTGATGGTTTTCAGGTGGTAGAAAAGAGGGGAAAATGGAAAATTGCTAGCCAAAAGGCATGAAGTTTCAATTACATAAAATGAATGAGTTCTAGACATCTACTGTACAACACAGTAGAGGCCTATAGTGAACAAAACTGTATTGTGCAAACTTTGTGGGGAAGGGGGGTATAGCTCAGTGGTAGAACACTGCCTAGCTTGTCCTAAAATCAATCCCCATCACCACCATATAAATAAATGCAATTTCAAAACTGGAAAAATTATTGACAGCATAAATCTTATGTTAAGTGCTCTTGCTGATGATGTTATATGACTGATCATTCATAACCAGCCCCAGATGCTTCCTGATCGTTGTGGCATAGGTGAACTGCTACAAGGTGGCACCTCAGTTTCTCCTCTACCTTGAATAAACTAAAAATGTAAGAAGGCAATGAAATCAGAACCAAACACAAACCAGATCTTTCTGCCAGTTTCTAAACTGGCAACAGGAAAGGAAGGAAATTTAAGAAGGAAACTAAAATACATACCATACAATTTTAAGCCCCAATATCTTGTTTCTTAGCATAGTTGGGATTTTTCTTGACATTTTGAGGTGCTGAAAGAATTTAACCTACATCTGTAGAACTAAAAGGTATTATTTCAAAAGAACATTGACTTCAAAACTTAAGCGATGAACACATAGGATTTCTCTAGCATCAATTGCAAAGACTATTTCAACTCCTTCCTCTAATTTAGAGTCCTGATGCCATACATGTATGGTACCTGGGAAGTGCAAATATCAAAACTGACATGGTGAATGTTTCCATATTGAAATGTGACCTAAGGCCTCTTTCTCAGTCCATTCAAAACAACTATGCAGTCTAAACAGTCACTGATCCTCATAGCATCCTAGTGAAAAAGCTAGTATTATGCTTTGGTTTCTAAATAGTCATGTGGAAGTTTGTTAATTTGCCTACTACCAGGAAAAGAAGTAGCAATTACAATAAAAGTCCAAAGTTCTTAAAGCCAGTGCTCTGCTCTAACTTGGGACACTTACCATTACTTGCCACCTAAACTGAAGTACTGAATGTTATACTATCTAACCAATATGAATTCTGGCTTCTCTAACTCTGAGTAATTTTAGTTTCCTCATTTTCCCCTTTCTCATGCTAAAATTAGCCTCATGATTGGAGAAACTGGCTGGAAATTTCAATACCAACTCAGATTGCTTTCCATCATTTGACCAAACCTCGAATGCTGAACATTTCTAACATTCAAAGAGGGTTTGTTTAACTTTCCCAGTTTTACCCTCCTGGTTTCAAATGGCACCAGAAACAGAAGGGCCAAAGCTCTGTAAGGAGAAACTATTCCAAACAAGCTTTCTGGCTCAACTCAGGCCTGAAACGATTCAGATGCATCGGAGAGAAATAGCCAAACTCCTGGGTGCCTGTCAAAACAGAGCTCCTGGACCCTGGAAGGCTTGGCTATGGCCAGTGGCGACAGTTGAAGGGTGAGCCCTTCTTTTGAAGCAAGCGCGGGAAGGCCGTCTGTACAGCAGTGACGAGAATGTGGGGCCAGGTACCCCTTGGGGAGGAGGACAACCCAAGGTGGCACTGCCAAGGCCACCTGCAGTGCTGCCTGCTACGTGGACACGTAGTGTGTGTCTGGAAAAACTCACAGGACTCATGGGTTTCCAAACTGCAAGCTAGGGGAAAAACTGAGTGTGATGACCCGGCAGGAAAAAGCCTTCTGTTTCTATCCATATATCTAGCAAGGCAGGTACAGCACATGGGGAACCTCCCCATATGGTGTGTCAGAGCTCAGGCTGCAAAGCTGACCCAAACACAGTACCTGAGCTGAGCAATCCAAGTGACGATCCAGGAGAGTGTAACCTTGGAGGATGAGAGCCATGCCTCTTGAGGGTTTCTGCTGTCTGGAAACATCCAGGATTTAAAAAAATTATGCCTAGGCAGCAAATTAGAAAAACTCTGAGAATCAAAGAGATCTCAAAAATGTAAACAATTACCATCTTCTTCTTTCTTTACTAAATTCCAAAGTGTACAGCAATTCTTCTCCAACTTTAATATACCTACGAATACAGATTCTAACTCACTAAGCTGGAGAGGGTGCCCCAGAGTTTGATTCTTAGCAAGTTTCCAGGCAGTGTGACAGCTCCCGACCCACGGTCCCTGTGTACAGTAGCAAAGCAGGTTAAACTCACCCATTTGAAACAATTGCCATTAAACAGCTTTTCATACTATTAGAGGGCATTTATTTGATGGGTTGGTTTCAATACTTCTTTCTTTTGTCCTTTTTATATCCTATTTCCTCAAAGAACAATACACCTTCATCTAGGGAAGGGTAAGAAATAAATAATGAAACTTGCTTGGCTATCAAATATATTCTTATAGTGGCTTACATCTGAATTATACCTTTAACCAGAGAAGGAAAAAACTTGTGCAGAAGGGCGAAGGGCCCTGCGTGAAAACCATCACTAATGTCCAGAGAGGAAGCGCCAAAGTAGTTGAGCCTGCTCCTTCTCCAGGTGTTTCAAAGCATTGGATTAGCCAAGAGCAGTCACTGCTCAGTCCATGAAGCTTTGATATCTATGTCTCAATTTAAAAATCATCACTGAGTTCCTTGTCAGCATAGCACGGAAGTTTCCAGTTAGCTCCTCTATTGGAAAAGCAAAGATTTCGAAAATAGTAAAACTGAATGCTATATCGAAATAATTCTGCCGTATTGGCCTCCTGGGATTGTAGCTGACATCCAGTTGGGTGGGGGGAGAGCCCATCCCTTGCTTCCATTTGCTGGCTGGAGAACCTGTTTTATCACAGACAAGCAGAGTTCAGAGACAGTGTGCAGCAATCATGCCATGAAATCGCCGAGCAGGGAGTGTTTTAATTGGATTGGACTGCACACAGAGGTCTATACATTAATTACAGGGTTATGCAACTATGCATCTTTCAACCTTTGCTGGTATTTTTATAGGGCCATTTAAAAAGACACCTGAACATTTTCCCCACCCCACCCCCAAAAGTGGTGTTTGGAAGCTGTAGCCAGTCTTAGCGAGGACAAAAACTGCCCTCAGATGACTTGGCAGAGCCACCATCCGCTGCAGACGCTTGGGGACAATTCCCAAGCTAGAAGCAGTGGAGCTGAGTCACTTGTAGGAATGAGGACAGAGAAGGTGGGTCAAGGCTGAACTTAAAGAATCCTAAACTGCTCTGGTTAAAATGAGATTAAGTATTTCTCTAGCAGTTCCAGGGTGACCGACGTGTCTTTTCATCCTGGACGCCTAAGGAAGCGGGAAGCTTAAATTCACCAGTGGCCCAATAAGTCTTTACTTACAGTCATGACCTGGAAAGAAAACCTCTCGCTGTTGCTTCACTGAGCTGTGAAATTCTGAGGCACTGCTGTGGCAGTTCAGCCTGGGAAGGCAGTGCTGGGTTGGTACAAACCTCAGTACTCTGCCCCCTGGTGCCCTGCAAAAGCCCAGCTGGGTGATGACAAAGTCCCAGCCCCAGCCTGTCTTCAGATTCAGATCTGCCCTGTGAAGACCCCCTGGGAAAGATGTATGTTAAACGACAGCCAGACCAAGAGAAAAGCCAAGAATTCAGGCAGTTAGCAGACACATCCAAAGCCTCCTCCCAGGCATCTAGACACCTAAGGCTAGAAGCATCCAGGGAGTTTCTAAAATGAAATAGCCAACGGATTAATCTGCTTCTACTTCAGTACTCAAATTTCTTAATCACTATGAAGCCTGATTTGACTCTGAGATGGCAGCTGCAGTTACAGCCCTCGGCTCCTAGCTCTCTTCCAGGGAAGGGTAAGAAAAGAGGGAACAAAACCTGGATGGGCCCTGGACTCAGGCTGGACTTTTTAAAGGACTGTAACAACCCAGGAACACAGGTGGATTATGTCAGCAAGGGATTTGCATTGAGAATCAATATGAAACATGCATTGTGTTTAGATATGAGCAAGCTTCATAAAAGAAATACAGGCATTCTTAGTCTCTTAAATGTGAGCAAAGTTATCGACATAGAGAAGCTAACTTCTCAGCAATCTGGGATAAAGCAGTCTCTAGAGTTTCAATTCCTGGTTTGATCAAAGCAGGAGTAAGTAAAACTCACGTCCTCTTTGAAAGACTTGTGCCATTGAAAGTAATGTCATTGTAGGTGTCTGGGTATGCAGAATTAGCTGGATGAAGACAAACCGAGGGGTGACTGAGGTGTCCAGACTTTCTGAAATACCTCTGCTGGCTTGTGCTTGGAATTCAGAGCTGGCATTTAGACCTATCATTTCACAGTTTTGCTTGAGGGTTTGTGCTGAAAGTTCACATGTACACAGTAGGGAGTGTATGCAGATCAGAGGGAACTACAGAAATTCCTTGGCAAAAGAAAGTCATTCTTCACCCCAGAACTCTGAAGAGAACGATGCTTTATTTTTCAGCAGGTAAAACTGATGGGCAGGAAAAGAAAAATAGATGTGTGTGAGCACCCCAGATAAGTATGGCTTCCTAAGGCAATGGAGGAACCATGTCTCCATTACCAGGCAGCCCTGTGAGAGAGGGCTGTACGCTGGCAATGTGGCTTTGGGTTCCTCTAGCTATTGTGAAGTCTTCATGGTTCAGAGTGTAGTTTTACCCTACCACAGGTGTGAAGTAGCCTGTTGACTGAACTAGAGAAAGGCCCTGCAGCAGTCCCTGCTGCCAGATGAAAACAGAAACAGTTGCAGAGTAGCTGTGCCTTTTCCTGAGTACACAAGTCCTCTTTCCTTTGTTTTCCTCTAGTTTCCTAATTTGAGTGTTTGTATTGGGCAGGGCATTAAGAAAGTGCTATGATTTTATCTCTTTCTGAAGGAGGTACATACTAAAGATGTCCACTTAGTAGAAATAAAAACGTCTTAATTTTGGTTTTATTAAAATAAAAGATTTATAAAAATCTTTTCATTTCAAAATTAAGATACTTTCCTTTTCCAGGCTCTTTTAGGGATCAGACTTTCACTGAAATATTTCCTTTTATTTATTTTCCCCTTTTATAGTTTCACTTATGCTATTATAATCATTACCAAGGCCTGAGCTCTCCCAGTGCTGATGCCCAGCATTTGAAATGACGGGAGCCACATCCTGTCTCAACAGCAGCTTGATGCCAGCATTGAATTACTATTGAATAAGCAGCAATGAAATCTTTATCAAAATAATCAGTAGTTCCAAAAACCACAAATAACAACAACAGGAGCTGAGCTGCCCTCAATCAGCAAAGAGCACTGCGATATAATAAGAGACTGAGTCACTTTTCTTTCACATTCCCTCTCCTGCGAGCTCTGCTTGATGATTTTCTTACACAGCCTGGGGGAGGGCAGGTGGAGGGAAGGAAGGGCATTGCTCAGAAAGCAAAAAAAAAAAAAAATTTTTTTACATCACTTAGGTCACATGATTGGCAAGAACCAATAGAGATGGGCTGTGGAAAGGGGAACAGTTAAATTTGTAATTTGGGTTGTGTGAAAACTTCTTTGGGCCTCATAAACAACCACAGAACCACAAGTTGGGTAGCCTGGCAGAGTCAGAAGTCTGAGCCCAGCATAGTGGTCAGCAGGCGGGACGAATCACACTGAATGCAAACCACAGGGTTTCGTAGAGTGGTAAGCATCCCCAACCCACAGACAAGGCGCTGTAGGTTTTTTTTTTAAAGCTTGAACAATTTGAATATTTGTTTTCACAAAAGTACAGTTTTCATAGGGCTCAGGGAGCTCCCAGAGGTATCAAGGAGGAGAGAATAAAAGATCTAAGAAACTATGGTGGGAGGTGATGTTCCAACCGTGACCTTTCTTGGTTTTCGCTCCAAAGGTAAATCATTGAATCCCCCGCCTTCAGAAGAGGGTGCATTTTCAGAAGGAAGCAATGGCTTCAGACAGCATATTTGAGTCATTTCCTTCGTACCCACAGTGCTTCATGAGAGGTGAGTACACGCTGGTCTTTTAATACCTACTTTAGCTCAGCTCTGCATGTAACGAAATGGCAGCCGATTGGAGCGGGAGGCAGAGAGCCCTGGGCACAGCCAGTGCCCTGTCTGTTTGGGGTGAGGAATTCAGACAGAAGCATGTGATCTGAGGCTATTGGATTACTTTTTCATCACATGGCAGCTCTTCAGAAATGTTTTAATAAATGCTTAGTTAAGCTGCTGGAGTGCTCAGTGGCAGTATGAGAATTGTGTCAAGTGTAAGTAAGTTGTGCTGTATTGTTTAAAGTCCTAGAGATTAGAAAAAGTGCACGAAGCTCCTTGGATTTTATTTGGCTGTCCCCTCCCTGGAATGACTGGGAGTTATCCTGGACTCAGCGTGCTGCGTGGCCCGCAATGCAGCCAGTCCCCGGACTTAGCAGCCACATGCACTGAGCCGGCCAGGAGGGCTGGTGCCAATGTGGGGAGGTGCAGGAGGCTCACAGATAAGCCCCCAGAGGGCCCCTCAGGGCTAAAGAGGCAACTCAGCTCTCTCCAAAATGCAGCAGACTTGCTTAGGGGTATGCTGTGTTTTCCTTGTAGCCTCAGTTTCAAAAAGGCAACAGGCTTTTTTGAAGAGAGGAAGCAAGCAAGTTTGTATCTCTCAAAAAGAGCAGTAAAGACGTTTCTTAAGTGTTCTTGCAGTTGAAATCATTAGATTGCACGCTTAGGAACAAGCATTACTAGTGTGCAAACCTGTCTGCATTTTTGCAATCAGTCTCTTGAAGTGTGCAAAGCTGAACTTCAGTCATGTGTGTATGCGTGTGTGTGTGTGTGTGTGTGAGAGAGAGAGAGAGAGAGAGAGAGCAAAGCATGTGTTTCTTAGTAGTAAAAGAGGGCTTTGCTTGAAGAAACAAAAATAATGACATAAAAATGTTACAAAGGCATTGCCGTGTGTCAGGACACACACTTCGACCAGTGTCCCCAGAATGTGGCTTGATGGTTTGGCAGAACTGGGATGACCCAGCATGGGATAGGGGAGTAGTTAATTTTCTGGCCTCAAACTCTCATGCACACCCAAACAATGTCTGTGATTCATTATTTATTCCTACAGCTAAATGAGCAGGGGAATGCCGAGGGCTTGCCAGCCACTTTGTCACAACAAATGCTATTTGAATGCCACAGAGCTTCTATGCTTCCGGGTCCCTCAAATTTAAAAACTTGACAAAGATGTGTGTGTGTGTAGTGGGGGAGGATTTAGTGAGTAAGAAAGCAAGCAAGTGATTAACCCAGTCCAGGTTCCAAATTAAAGGGTTTTCAAGTGCTCCTTTCCTGGCAGCTGAGGAAATTGAGTGAGGTTGAATTGGGCAGATGGTGTTGTGAGTCACACGTTTTGTAGTCCTGCATGAAGCACCAGTGGGGACAGAGACTCCGGTCCCTGGGTGTAAAGCTGCGAACTGCTCACTGGCTGCATGTCCTCTGGGCTGCTAACAAGCAAAGGAAGCAATATTTTGTAGAATAACAGAGAGGAGATCTTCCTGCCTTTTGTCTGCTTTCAATACCCTCTCCAAACATTTATTGTTTCCTATTTTATCAACTCAGGAAGGGAGATTCAGGAAATTTTTAAACATTCCACTGGGCAATAGGTTGGATACCAGCAAGTTGTGCTGGGCTTCAGAGATGTCCTAATTAGCCAACAATAAAGATAATTAGGGGACACGGTGACCCATGGAGACACCAGGTAATAGAGGGGTCCCAGTCCTGGCAGAGCCTCCAGCTGCTGTGACCACAGGACAATCAGCCCTGGCTCTAGCAAGGATCACTTAGTCGTTAACTCCAAGTCTCAGAAGGGCTGATCTAAAAAGATCACGCTCCTTCCTCTCTACAAAAGGAGATCAGAGCCTTTCAGGATCTCCTACCTGGTGGTATAATAAGAAGATTTAGTTTCAGAGGGCCTGTGAGACCTTAGCAATTTCTTGGCTATTTCATACACAGGATCATTCGGCACAGGGGTGGAAATCATTTATATTAGCTTGTCCCCACCTGGCATCCAAGCCAGGGAGTTTGCAAAACATCATTTCTTTGTGTACCACTTGGACATCGCTTTAGGGAGAGACCACTGTGGGACACATTATCATTCCCCCAACAGCTCTGCCCCACGGTTTTTCCTTGTTCATTTCCACAGCCTGGCCACTTGTGGTGCTTCACGTGATCTCGTCTCTGCCTATAATTCCCAGCGTGTGTCCCCTCCCCATCTCCTTTTGTTCCTGGGATGGTGCCTTATCAGTCCATGCAACTCTCTCAGAAGGAAACTGGTAACTCCTTTTCAGCCAGATACCCATGTGGAAACAGGGGAAGGAGAGATGTGGAACCCAGAAAATGCTTGTTCCCTCCCTCATGAGAGCAGGGCCAGTGTCACAGAAGCTGGCACGCGAGATGAATGTGGTCTACCACAGAGAACACGGGTCTTTTTCTATCATACCACACCAGGCTCTCAGTGTGCTCAGGCAGGAAGATAAGACTCGATTGAGATTCCCTGGAATTATCACATGTGGTTTGTTATCCGAAATTCTTGCAGAACCCCAACTTGGTCCCCTCCAGAGTGCAAACTGTGGACCAAAAGATCTGTGGTAGTTTAGGATGAGAAAAGCCCCAGTGTATGTGTAGTTTTGGAAAATGCCTCAGGTAGCCCTGTTCTTAGAAGTGGCTTAGTGGTCTATGCGAAGGCTGAAAGCTGAGATGCCTCTGAGTTCCTAGAACTACAGGTAACAATCTCAGTGACGCAGCTTATTGGTGCCCGTCTTCTGTGTGGCTCCAGTTTATTCCCCTGGAAGAATCTTTCAAAGGCAATTGCAAGACTCCAGGCTTATGTCTGCAATGTGTGTTTCCATTCCAACCATCAATTTGCCATTGTTTTCAAAATATTTATTGGACTGAAGACTTAAGATCTCCGAAAGCCATAGATTAAATTATGTGTGGCACTGGCCACTGTGTGGAATCTGTGTTTGCCTGCATTTGTCAAAACACAATACCATAGACTCGGTGGCTTAAAGAGCAGAAATTCACTTCTTCACAGCTCGTGAGGCCAGAAGTCTCAGATCAAGGTGTTGGGTTGGTTTCTTGTGAAGCTTCTCTCTGCGGCTCGTCTGTGACTTCACATGTGCCCTAATCAGGACACCTGCCATTTCATCTGCACTCACACCCCATGCTACCTAAACTGCCTTAAAAGAAAAGACTCTACCACCAAATACGGTCACATTCTGAGGAACTGAGAGTTAGGACTTCAATATATGAATTCAGGGACACAGTGCAGCCCCTGGCAGTGGGTCTCAGCAATCTCACATGCCCTGGCCCACAAGTAAATCGAGGCACCAGGCATCTTGGTTGCTTTCCTGAATATTGAAGAATTAGATCCTCTTTCCCGCTTTGTGAGATGAAGTTTCACATCTGAAATGGCCCATGCATTTTGAAACTTAAAAAAAGTGTTAAAAATGATCTAAATTCATACTAATACCCTTTGCCATCTAGTCTCTGCACACCAAGAAACTTTTGAGAATGATAAAATGGCAATTTTAATATGTTTTAAAGAGCAAAAAGCAGTCCCCAGAAGAAGCTGCTGCCCCAGCTCTGCATCCTCCAGCAGGATTTGTCCCTGCGCCTCAGATGGCACCCAAGCAGCACTTTGCCAGCCAGGTTTGGGGCTCTCACCCTGAGTGCAGGACAAGAAGCAACAGGTGGCAGAAGCATCTTCAGAATCAGCAGCTTGCCCAGGATCTAGATGGCAAAAGAGTAGCTAAGAGAGAAGCTGGAAATAGATCTGAAAGGTGTGCCCAGGAAAGAGGTGGCCTTTCACTCCACAGCAAGGCCGGCCTGGTGCTGGGACAGAGGAGGCTCGTGGCTGCTGCACACACCTGCACTTGCACAGAGACCAGGGCTCGGCTGGGTGCCCACACCCAGGAGGGAGCTGGGTGTTCTGAGCAGCTACCGTTAGAATAGGCATGGGCAGGAGGTGAGAACGCAGAGTGTGCTCAGATAACACCTTGACTACTCTTCCTTTTCCTTTAGCCAAACAGCATGCAGAGCTTCTGTCTGAGCCTCAGTTTCCTCTTCTGCTGAAGCACAGTAGCAGCACCTATCCTTAAGGCAGCTAGGTAGACTCAGTAAATAACCCGTGGAAGGTGACTGCCAGGACACGCAAGTATGAGCAGTAAAGGGTAGCTGGCTAGTATCTGCAGTGTCCGGCCATCTATGATCCAAGTTAGCTGCTCAATTCTGTCTGTTCAAGGAAAAAACAAATGTCATAATGCCCTGGAGCCCATCCAGAAGGCTCCCTGCAGGAAATGGCACGAGTGCGGACAAAGAACAGAGGCAGTGTGGTCCCAGCAGAAGGTCCAGGCCAGGCAAAGGTATTCCTGTAGGACCCCATGGCAGGGACCAGAGGCAGTGAGCTAATCAGGCCTTGATGGCTTTTAATTTTTATATTTTGTGGCACTGGGGATTGAACTCGGGGCCTTTGCACTGAGCTACATTCCCAAGCTTTTTTATGTTAACTTTGAAAGTGTCTCAAGTCACTAAGTTGTCCAGGCTGGACTCAAATTGCATCCTCCCCCACTTCTGGGATTACTGGCATCTACCACCACCCCAGCTTCACCCTTCCCTCTCCTTGCCAGTGCCCACAGAGAGGACAGGAAGAGGTCAAGAGCCTTCATGTCCATCCATGCCCAAGCTTAACTTTTCAATATGGAGGCTGACTGGGGCACATTGTAACTGAGGTTTTGGGTCCAAACAAGAGAGAGAGCCTTCCACTCCTTAGAGTTCTGTTGTACTTTATTTGCTAGAAAGATCTGCTTAAGGCAAGGGCCATGCAGAGGTTCTCTAGGGCTCTCAAAGTGGCCATTTCCTTGCATCTCAGTGACATTTGTCATCATGTCCTTTGTCAAAGCTCAGCAGTGAAGTCAGCTTTGGCTTCTTATCTGGGTGGCTGCGTGGGGGTGGGTGGGGAGGCCCACACAGGAAACTCA